AGAATATTTCAGCTATTAAAATTGCTTATACTTATAGCAGGCTTGTGCTTTCTTCCATTATAACCAGGATGAGCACCTGGCCTCTGCCTAATGCTATTGTTCTGTCTTAGTATCTCAAAGGACAGCATTCCCGATGCTGCTATTTTAGTTCTTACAGTAAGAAAGAACAACTAACGAGAGTCTTAATATGATATGAAAATGAGAAATTTGAAGAGCTGGAGCGGCTCCAGAAGATCCTGGAGAGTAAGAGTAGGTTGATAACCCTGTTAGACCAGCGGAGAGGCATGTGTCCCTGAACACAGAGCAGTTAAAGACAATGAGGAGCTGCGGGCGGAAACCATGGAAATTATCAAAAGAATAAGTGTCATAAGGTAGATATGGGAGTTACTTTTCCTTTTGAGAGAAAAGAAAAAAATATTTGTTGGCTTATCTTTCTGTAACATGGTTAATTAAGCTTATATCAACTTTGGAAAATTGTAGTAGAAATGGTATGAATTATACAATAGTCCTTTCTAAGACTATGGGTTATATTTTTTATCCATAAGTAGTCACCCCTGTGGTGCAATATCAAGGACATACAGAAATATGCTTTCCAAATCCCTGGAATTTATTCCCCAAAAGAATATTACATTGCTCAAAATGTGAACAATTTCTTTTTTATTTTCAAATAGGATACATATTTTTTATTGATTCCAGAGAGGAAGGGAGAGGAAGATAGAAACATCAATGATGCAAAAGAATTATTGATTGGCTGTGGATCGAGACTGTTATCCAGGCAGGTGTCCTTGACTGGAATCCAACCGGGATGCCTCAGTCCCCAGGCCAATGCTCTATCTTCTGAGCCAAACCTTTAGGATGGGAACAATTTCCTTTTAAAAAAAAATGTTATTGATTGATTTCAGAGAGAGAAAAAGAACCATCAATTTGACATTCCACTTATTTATGCATTCATTGGTTGATTCTTGTATGTGCCCGGACCCAGGATGGAATCTGCAACCATGGTGTATCATGACTACACTCTTACCAACTGAACTATCCAGCCAGGGCAAGTTTGAACCCTTCCTAAGTAGATAATATCTTTTTATTATTAAAAACATAAGCAGAAACAATTCCATCCTTCCTAAGCATCTATTAGTTCAGCAGAAATGTCCCCTTATTATCTAAATTACACACCAGAGTAATGATTGAGAGACACTTTTTCTTTTTGTTACAGAAGATAGCAAGGCTGAAAATAGTCTCTCTCTCTCTCTTTTCTCTCCTATATGATTCTATTTTTTGAAGTACCTAAAACAAATAACTAGAAATAGAAAGAAGAATACTGTTTGCCAAAGACTGGGGAAAGAGGAAAATAGGGACAAAAAAGTGATTTTAAATACACCTGTCAGTCAGTTGAGAGTCTAAGAGGGCGTTGCTTAAGAAGTACTCTGCAGAGGTGTAATAAAACTGTATTGGTACAAGAAGCATGTCCCATTTAGGGTTATGAAAGGATGAACACACACATTCACATATTATTATGGTTCTTTTGATTAAACTCTGAAATAACTGATCTCTCTACAATTTCCAAGAATAAAACACATTTTTCCAAAATTAAAAAGAGTATTTCACTAAGACCATTTTTGCCTGTTGTGTATTCAAAGGAGGAAGTATGAAAATGGAGATGACAGCAAGGTTGTCAATTTTTAATTACTTCATAGTTTGTTCTACCTATTACCCTTTTTATAGCCCTAGAGTAACTAGGAGAAAAATATTTCTAAGGAAAATAAAATTTAAAGACAAAGCAAAGAATAAGTAAAACATAGTAAATTTTTAACACACATTTTCACTTTTTTGGCCTTAAACAAATACACAGCCAGATATTCCGCCAGAAAAAAAATGGATTTATTTGGGAACAACAAGGAACTGCAATTTGGAATTCAACATTTAATTTCATGTTTGTTACTGTAACACAAAGATGGTGTCATTCTTGGATTAAAATGTTGGATTTCTTGTTAATATATTTAAAACTGTAACCAGTAATAACACCCTTAATATTTTTATTACATATGATATTTTATTTCAATAAATTTAAATATTTAGATCACAAACGATTGCAATTTGGGGCATGTGATCTAATGACCAAACTTTTGCTCATCCAAAGAAACATAAGAGAGGAGGTTCTTTTATAGAGAAAAATGGAAATTCAGAAGGGTTTTTGTAAACAAAAATTCCATGGCAGTTTAATATCTAGTGGCTTTTCTTTGGCTGATTTTTAACAGCCTTTCATTGGCTGAGTGATTGTCTATTGAGGGGAAGATCATCCTTCTTCCTGTTAGGGGAGTAGAATAGAAAAACATCTTGTTGGAGGTAAGACCATGAGCGGTAGGGTGTGAACTTCACCTACAGGCTCTCCCAATGCTAATTTGAATGAGGTTGCTATTTATTAATCTTTACAACTTGCATATAAGAAGACTCATTAATCAATTGATCTTATCTAACAAAAGCAAAAATGGAATTTGCATAGAGAAAGAGGATGAGGGGGTTTTAAAAAATCTCAGAGAGTTGGGAAGCAAAGCACTATTTGTCTTTCCTTGTATAAGCTATTGATTGGTATAAGGCTCAGAAAGAGATCACTCCTTTGGGAGTAGAAGGATCATCTGAGGAATCTGTTTTCATTGTTAATCTATTTCTTGAGAAACCTTGAAGGTTTAATACATGAGGTAAGTATACGTGGCAGACTGTCATTATATAATGTTGGCGGGTAACTCTATTATTGTTTCCATCTTAGGGGTGTCCACTCTGCATCATTTCCCTTATTTGAGTTCGGGTTTTTTTTCATACATTCCCCTGCGTTAGTGTCCATTTTCCTGTGTTTGTGCCTTCAAAGCAAGACTGGCTTTGCTATATGTATCCCTTCAGATCTTATAAGACACATGTCTATAGAAACAAAGGAATCAATTTTCCAGACTCAGATGGCTGTTATTTGTAGGATATATTTTAGAGCAACTGAGTGAAAAATCATTCATATAACAGACTAATTAATGTCTCCTGGGAAATCCCACTTTATTCAGTGAAGGAAAAAAATAACAGGAACCCTAAAGGCTATGTATTCAGATATGACATATTTTCATAGTTATCATTGTATGTAAATAATTAATGTGGTTAATGATGAGGAGCAGTTAGAAATAGAGTCTCTTCCTCTTGCTAAAGAATATACATAATGCTAAAAATAATATCAACAAAATTAGACTCATAATACAGGGGGAAAAAATCCAGTTAGTATTCTACTCATCCTTCATGTTATCTGAAATTATAATGTAAATATCAAACTTAAGTGGTTACAATGATATAATGAACAGCACCAATTGGGAGGGAGATGTGGATATATGTGATGATGTCAAGTTTGGCAACAACTTCCTTAAAAGTCTGGGTGGATTTCAAATATTAATATGTATATGAAAGTGTTTATTATCATCCAATATTATTCTGACTTTTAATTTCTCCACTGTCACCTAACCCCTCTTTCCCAGTGCCTTGCTAAAATTAACTACAGTGAATATTTTTGTATAAGTTTAATGAGTTTTATAATAAAGAGTCTAGCCTTGTCCTTCACAGTAATGCAGTTCCTGTAGGTGTTAGAAAATCAGTAGGAAGGGGTTGGAAGTGAAAGTCAGGTTGCAGAGACTTAAAGACTAAACTAAGTAGAGGTAGGAAGAGAAGGTAGAACTACTACTCTCTTTTTAAAGAAATTAAAAACATAATGCAAAAGGCACCACCTTGAATACTATAGTTAATGATATTAAATGTGTTGTGTATGATTCCCTCCACGTTCTGTGTGGAGTAGGGTTCGGTATCTGAAAGAGGAGCCTCACAGCAAATGAGAGAAAAAGACACGAGATAATTTTGCAATATTGGGGGACCAAGCGGCAAGTCCTGAAGGACTTCCTCCGATGCTCAGGCCTCTCCAATCTTTTATTGATCTGGAGTAGCCCTTAGGGTAAGGAGGTTCAAGGACACACAGATCAGCAGACAATTTCCAGAAATAGACAAAAGTATCTGATTAACTCATCAATAGATTTCCGGGAGCATCTGATTAACAATAAACAAGGATCTACATAAGTATCTAAGGAATTAAGGGAACTAAGGTGGGGATGCTTCAACTATTATTATCTAAATTAACTGAGTGGTTCCTAGATTAACTGGGTGGTGCACAGCCCTGACCTTTGCTAGGACTTTCAAGGGCTACTAGCTTTTGGGGGGTCTCTGTCTAAACTCAGCTAGTGAAGACAATGAATGGACTCCGGCATCATGTAATTTTAGCTTTGGGGTTTTGAGAGAAAAGGTACCAGAGTCAATTAACTGAAAAATAACATGAATGCATATGAAGATACTCCTTTGCAAATATCTTGAACTCAACGTTTTCTAACACTATAGATAATGTAATTATCCATCAAACCATCTTAGGGCTAAGAAGGAATAAAAGTGAAGAACAATAGGCAAAGAAAAATATCAAGATCCATTATTACATTTTGTTGCCATTGTTATTTGTTTGCTTTCCAGGAGAAATGCAGCTTACTCTTAAAACAATCCTTTGATTGGGACAATTGAAGAGAATTCATGTTCTTAACCATTTGGATATGTCCTATATCTAAGGTTTATCTTGGATAAAGAAGGCTTAAGGAATATCATCACTTTTCCTAACTTATTTGTAAATCCAATTCACATAATGAATTATACTAAACTACATTTATAAATTTTGAGGAGTAAATAATGATCTGAGGAAAAGTTGGATTATTTAACAATAACAGGAATCCTGAAGGAATAATCTCTTGCTCATACTAGTAATATTCTGGAAGTTTACTGGAATAGTGGCCATATTGATTATGATGAGAAAGGAGAAAATAAATGTAGACTGCTTTGCTTGGTTTTTCAATATCGTCTTTTGCTACAGAACTTGTATACCTATGTCGTCATAAAAATCTCTTATTTTTACATGCTGATTGGGTGGATTTCAAAAGTCAGTGATGAGAAACCACACAGCAGTAACAACGTTTATCCTGCTGGGACTAACCAATGACCCACAACTACAAATTCTGCTTTTTGTCTTTCTATTTCTCACCTACATGTTCAGTGTGACAGGGAACCTGACTATTATCACCCTCACACTGCTGGACTCCCATCTGCAAACTCCTATGTACTTTTTCCTCAGAAATTTTTCTTTCTTAGAAGTTTCATTTGCTGTGATGCAGGTCCACTCCTAAAGATCTCATGCTCAGATACATGGGTAATCGAACAAATGGTTATCCTTGTGGCTGTATTTGCTCTCATTATCACCCTCGTGTGTGTGTTTCTGTCCTACACATACATCATTCAGACAATTTTGAGATTCCCCTCTGTCCAACAAAGAAAAAAGGCCTTTTCTACGTGCTCGTCCCACATGATTGTGGTCTCCATCACCTATGGTAGCTGCATCTTCATCTACATCAAGCCCTCAGCAAAGGATGAGGTGGCCATAAATAAAGGTGTCTCAGTGCTCACTACTTCTGTGGCACCCTTGCTGAACCCCTTCATTTACACCCTGAGGAATAAGCAAGTGAAACAAGCTTTCAACGACTTTGTAAAAAGGATAATATTTCTCTCAACGAAATAGAAGTTTGGATGAATCAGAGTAAAATGAAAGAAGAAAGTCTTCTAAATAGTTAACAGCTTCTAATTTATTTCATTGCTTTATGCCTATAATTCGCTCATAGTAATCTTCTAAAAGGCATTTAACACTGCATCTCACTTTAATCGAACTCCCTCCTCTTCTTTCAAACCAAGCTCATACATCATGATTTTGTTCATTGTGAACCTATAAAATGTATTTCCAAGTAATTGAACTTGCCTCCATTTCTGACCTAGTCTTTTTGTCAGTGCTCTGTAAAAAAGGAAATAATGAAATTTAAAAGTATATAAATTATATAGAAGATACATTATGTAGTAACATTACTAGTTTTTATCTCTAAGACAAATTTATGACAGTTAATATTATAAATCTGAGAGTCAAATAAAAATTAGAAAACAGCAACAACAAAGATGTATTAAAATAAGTTAAATCAAATAAGACATTCCAAGCTAATTAAAATAATGGAAATAACAAAGTGGAAGTGAAGATAAAAAGTGGGAACTTGGGAATAATCAGAATTGAAGAAGTAGAAACATCTTCAGAATCACTAATAAGATGTACAGCAGTCTCCCATATAGAGAGGGAATACGTTCCAACACCCTCAGTAGATGCCTGAAACCTCAGGTAGTACTGAACCCTATACATACTATGGTGTTTTTCCTATGCATACATACCTTTTCACTTAAAAGAATGACTTTACAGCTTCTCTTTGGGATACTCAATTGCCACCATCACTACTTTTATTCTTTGGAGCTATTAGTAAATAAAATAAGAGTTACTTGAACATAAACACTACAATACCACAATGGTCGATCTGGTAACTTAGATGGCTACTTGGTGATAATGAGCAGGTAGCACATACATTGTGGACAGAGGGATAATTCAGGTCCAGACAGGACAGAGATGGATGGCATGAGATTTCATGACAGTACTCAGAACATGAGTAATTTAAATCATATGGATTGTTTATTTCTGTAATTGTCCATTTAATATTTGCAAACCACAGTTGACCACGGGAACTGATATCACAAAAAGTGGAATTACAGATCAGGGGGGACTATGGTATTTGCAATTTATGTATATTCATGAGAGAAATTCACTGAAAAAGGCATATATTTGATTTAAAATAAATTTAAGCATAATGTCACTTCTTATGGGTTTTAAAATTAGAATAGGTGCACAAGAGTGAACTGGAACCAAATTTTAAATGCTTATGAAATAAGATAACTATTCACATCAAGATAAGGTTAATGAATGATTTAAGAAGATATCATGGATATTCAACTGGCAAAAATAGGGAGAAAGTGAACTACAAAAGGGAATAATTATAGGAATTATGATCAAGGGGACAACTGAAGAAAATATTCCTAAACTGAAGAACTTAGAGTTTGAAAAAGAAGGAAGGAAGGTTGATAGGAAGGAAAGAAGGACAATAAGAAGGAAGGAAGGAAGGAAGGAAGGAAGGAAGGAAGGAAGGAAGAACGGAAGGAAGGAAGGAAGGAAGGAAGGAAGGAAGGCA